TTAGGATGGAGTTGCTGGATGAGGAGGGACTAGTGCCCATGGCACAAAGAGTAAGCAGTATTCCCTCCAACTGATTGGACTCCTGAGGTCATGGGATCAGGAGAGGTGGCCTTCTGTGCACTCACTGTGCTCCCGTCTGTTCTGCGATCGGCTTCTGGGCTGCCCAGCATAATTGAAATACTAACAAACTGACAGATTTCAAGCTTGAGAACTGTTTGTGCCAGGTAGAAGTCCCTGAAGTGTGTCCTCTCTTGAAAACAATGCGCCAACGGTACAACATCCTTAAAGAACCACAGAAACTAGCTGGTGCCAACATCCATTTTTGAGTAGCACAGACAGAAAGGAAAGCATCAGGTTTTGCAGCAGAATATAATGGAACCCTATTCTGGTAGTCAGAACAATGGGCCTTCCCCAAAATGCCCACCTTGCAATGTCCAAGGATGGGGTGAGTTGTGTTTGTAAGTGGATTTAAGTTTTCAAGTAACCTGGATTAGCTGGGTGGATGGAATACAATCACACATTCCTGAAAAATGTTGAAGTAGAATCTCAAAAAGAGTCCAAGGGAAATGTAGCCATGGAACAGCTCAGAACAAGGCTGCTGGCTTCAGAGTTGGAGGAAGGAAGCCAAGAGCCGAGGCATGCATGCAGCCTCTGGAAGCTCTCAAGACCAGAGACCTCCCCAGGACCCACCGAAAGAAGTGCCCGAGTGTCAGACTTCACAGCCCTGATGAGCGTTTTGCTATGTAAGTCACTAGGACTTCAGTAATCTGTTATAGCAGTAATTTAAAACTAATTCAAATGCCTACAAAATTGCAAGAGAAAATGACTTTAATCCATTACCTAAATTCAGTTGCACTACTGATTAAATATGAATTCAAGCCCATTTTCAGACAAATAAGGTCTCAAAAAATATGAGCTCCTAAGCACCTTTTCTTGGGGAAGATGTAGTCTTCCGAACTAAGGGAATAAACCAAGGCAGAGGACACTAGAAGTAGCTGGGCTTACTCTGGAGCAGGCAACAAGGAGCCATCAAGAACAGATGCCTCGGGTATGGAGAGCAAGCCTGTCACAGTGGGGACTCGAAGATGCCATGGAAGGTCTGATGTCACAGCATAGGCCAGGAGGATGCATAGTCTAACTCTCATGAGGGCTCACATCACACAACAGGATTTTAACCATTGTGAAACATTGGGGGACAATTCGTGACAGTGACATAGAAGCTAAGCAAAGAGCAGAGGCAAACTTCAACTCCAGGTAAGAAGGTTGTTTGAGAAGAAAAAATAATTGCCTTGTCCTTGTTGTCATGACCATGAGCACTACTTGCATATTAAAAATAGTTTTACTAATTCTTTGAGAATTTCATACCTCCCTCTAACCTTTTTATTTATTTATTTTACTTTAAGCCATCAAATCCAATTTGTGTTTCCCATATACTCCTGGGTGGATCATCACTACAGCATGGTCGACCAACCAGGGGTCACACACTTAAAGAAAAGCAACTCTCACTCTCCCTTACCCTCGATCCATTGGCAGTAACTCCTTAGCTAGGGGTGGGAGTTTCTGACCCCCTCCCCACTCCATTCTGGTATTCTGTCAGGCCAGATCCTATGCAGGGCTCTTAGAACCACTGTGACATACAGCTGCCCCACTGAGCCTGGGAAACACTGCTTCAATGTGGTCCTCTGCCATCTCTGGCTCTCACAGTCTTTTGGGCTCCTCTTCTCATATGATCCCTGGGCCGTAGGAGAAAGGGCATGATGGTTTGTGTATTGTAATGATCCAGATGTGGGTGTAACCCTGATTGGAAAGAACAGGGTAGAAAAGCTAAGGGCTGGGCCTCTGGCTCCCTGTTTTCATTACTTTACTGTTTGGGATTTTTATGTTGGTGGTAGGTTTCATGGTTTCAGGCCACAAGGTCATGACTGCAATTGCAGTCTTTGGTCTATGGCACACTCTAAGCAGAAGCCCAGGTTTGACCTAATCTTTGCTATCTGGTAAGTGATTTGATTAATTACTTTAATACATAGTAGATACCTTAATGCCCTCAACCAGAGTGAAAACCTAGAGAAGAACCCATCCATTCTAGCACTATGTCCACATCCTGTCCTGAGACCAGCTCCACCCCAACTGTGATACTTAGTGTATGAGTCTGTGGTGCCTTTGCTGTCTCCTCATATGCAAACTGAGCGCCTTAAATTCCTGACCAATCTGACAATGGTTCCTGCTGGGCTGAAAACTGGCCTAAAGGAAAGGTTGTTGAAGCCAACCACTTTGTCCCTTCAAAGTTGCAAATAGCCCAATCTGGGAGACCATTTCCCACAACACAGGAGGCTTAGCCCAGGCTTTGCTCACATTAAGTACCACTGCTTTGCACCATTTTTTTCTCTCTTCCCTAACTACTACTTGAAGTGAGAGAGAATTGGCCCTGGAGGTTGCATGAAGATGCTAAAGATGGCTAACCATTGGTCTCTCCGGCACTGGAGCCTGGCAGCATGAGTCTGTTACCTTCAGGCTTTACTCTGAGACAGGCCTGTGTCCCCAGTGAGGCATCTACGAAGATCCCTCTGGGTTGGGCAGCCACAGTGGGCTCTGTATTACTTACTTTGCTTGTTGATGTTGCCAGACACTTGACACAAGAAACTTGAGGAAGGGTTTGCTTTGGTTCATGGTTTTAGGATATATATAGCCCATCATAGTAGAAAAGGCCTGGCAGCACACTGCTCCATGGTGGTGAGAGCTGTCTGCTAACATCTTAGCACCAGGAAGCAGAGAAAGGGGATGCCAAGGGGATGCCCGCACTCTACCAGCTTTCTCCTTTCCTCTCTTTAACCAGTCTAGTCCCGCCCCGCCCCACCCAAGTCCAATGCATCAGGCTGCCCACCTTAGAGTAGATCTTCCTTTCACAGGAAATCCTCTCTAGAAGACCCTCATAGATATACCCAGAGGCCCAGGATGGTTACTGAGCTTGGCAACTTGCCAGGTCTCACAGGTACCAGTAGCCTGGGGAAGATTCTTGCCAGGCCTGTGCTCTGGGGGCAGCCATGCCATGCTGCCTGACCCCTGACCCCACTGCCCCTGATCTGTGGACACTTTAAGACTCACTCAAGTGTCTCCACAATATGTCAGTCAAGGCTTAGTTTTTAGGTTTGCTAGCATACTTTGCCCCCTCCCCCAAATAAAACCTTGCCATCAAGACATTCTGGAGAATATGGGATCAAAATAAAAACATAGAATTCTTTTCTACACTTTCACAGAACTTGACCTCCTAGATGGTAATGCTTTTCCGTTTCAATTGTGATCTTCAAACATTATCTAAGTTTTCTGAATCTCATTTTCCTCCTGTGAAACACAGGAATACCAATGCCCACCCCAGGGAATGCAGGGAGGGTGAGATCACGAGCTTGAACGCAAATCTGAGTCCCCATCTCTTTCATCTTTTGCTTTTCTTTTCCATTTTCCTCTAGGTCATCATCTCACCTTCATTTACATCTGTCTTGAGAAATGACGTTAACAGTTATATGAGATGGCATTGGGGTGTTTCTCTATAGAGGGGCTCCAGGCCTAGCATGGCATCGGTCATGGGACACCCAGGGGAGGCTGTCTACAGTGTACTGCCATCAAGAACAGACCCCAGTAGCAGCTCCGTGTCCTCCCATCACCAAAGACAGATGTAGCTCAGGGTTCAAGCGTACATTGCAGATGTATCGCCACCAAGAGCGCATGGCAGCTGCTGGCAGAGTCAGGTCTCTCTACTCCCTCCTCACCTCCTCTGTGCCCATACTCCCTAAGCTAAAACTCTGGGCTTCATACTGAGAATCTCTTGTATTCTTCATGTAATCCATGTCAATCCCCGTTTTTAAAGTCACCAACTGTGACATGGTCACCAGTCCAAGAAGCACAGCCTGCACACATAGTAGAGGTTTTACTGAGCCTAGAGTGATTTACAATAAAGCACACTTCACAGAAGATTGGACAAACTCAGGCTTCACAAAGACCACATTCACGATTACTAGTCACATTTGCTTGGAAGCATACAGGGGATGGGGTAAGGGAGCAGACAGGCGCCAGCAGGAGGGCTGACTCTGAATGTGGCGCTATCTCTAGCTGCCCTCAGGGAGGTATGACTGAAGCTTTTCCCACAATTCCCAGGGGAAGATACACAGTAAGTCTCTGCAGCCTGTCCTCAGGCTAGTAAGTATCCCAACTCTCTACCACCACATGGAAAATGCAACTCACACCCGGCTGACATTACAGGGACCAGGACAGATGCAGAAGCTGTGGCCCCCAAAGCCACTTTATAGTTAGAAATCTCCTGCTGCCCTCTCCAAATCATTAAAAAAAAATCTGCTGTTCCATGTATATTTATTTTTTTATCTTGGAAATTTTCTAGCCTTCGCATGGATAAGCTAGTTTTTAAAAACTCCCCCTCCCCATTGCAGGGAAGCAGACATAGTCAAGTTGTGCTTCAGTTAGCAACTGAGAGTTCTAAATGAGTCTTAGATGAGCCTCTCCTCCTGCTTAACAAAATCTTAGTTTCCCACTCCACAAAGACACTTTGTCTCTGAGACCTCTCTGTGACGAGACGGAAATCTGAAGCAAACACAGCAGCTGCAGAGGCTGTTCTGGGCCTTGAGGGTAGATTCAGTCCCGCCTGACACATTGCTCTCTGGGTGACACTGAAAGCCACCAAGACCACATGCAAGATGATGAGAACACTGGCTATCTGGAATGAGATTTCTCTGACAAATGGGCCCTTAAGGAATAAACTTGCTTTAAGAAGCAGTAGGTTCTGGAAAATGAGACATGAATTTCTCAGGTGATGTTGACAGGGGAATCTTCTTTCAGGAATTAGTGTGAAAAAAATTTCATCTTTCAGACAACAAAGAGAAATGTCCTGTCTAGACAGCTCGGGCAGATGAGGTGTCTAAGCACAATTATTTCCAGCTTATTGGAAAGCAAGTTCCCTCATTGCTTTCTGTGAAAACAGAACAGTGCTTCACTCCTCTCATTTCTGGGGGTGGCGGGTGTGGGGGAATCCTACCCCCAGCTCTCTTGTACTGCTCTTCTTGACAGCTATCATCCAGGAGAGGGCCAGGCCCCACACACCATTGGTTGCAGCCTTTAACTTGCCCTCCTCTCTTCTCTTGGGTTGTACTGAGGGACACCATTCATCGTGGAGGAGTTCAGTAGTACTCTGATGTGCCCGTGTCTTGCTGATTATTATGATCTAAATGGACACATGTAGTTCAGGATTTTAAAAAGTGAAAACACACAGAGACGGAGGGCAAAGTTACAGACAAATTCACAGCACATTAACAGGCATTTTTACAAATTGATGGGCTAACAGGCTGATCTTAATTCATTTGTACACTTTTCTGAACTTTTAAAAATGGTAACACCAATTAATTTCTCTTTATTTTAAGAAGCCAAAATGGGTCCTTTCTGGTCATGGATGGAGAGAGCCACAGCCATTGAAGATGTGTGATTACGCTTGGTCCAATGACTTCTGAAAAACCTTTGTGTCTGTTCTTCCTGGCTAGCAAAGCTGTTTTCTGGACACATAGATCAGGCCCACCAGTAATATGATTCAGGTCCCCCTGTGTTTGCTCAGCAGTTGGAAGGGCAAGGTAGCAGGTGCTGGATAGCTGGAGCTGGTTGACTGAGCCAGCCTCTGTTGGAACCGAGGTGGCTGTCACAGCACTTGATCAAAGATCTTTTTACAACACCTTGTGGCATCCTTTAGGTGGTATGCACATCACATGGGGGAGGAAGCTGGGCAGGTTCCTAGGAACCCAAGCATCTCTCTGCTTCTGTGGGACTTACTGACACCGTGAGCATCAAGTCAGTTGTGAGAGGACAGAGCCCTGCCCACCTCTTCCTGCTTCCCCTAACTCATCGCCACAATGGGTTCCACAGAGGACAGATCTGTCTTCCCAGACTGGATCTGGGAAGAGGGCATGTGGTGACTGGCTATTGGAGCCCTCCGACCATGGCTCTTCTCTGTCCAAGCCACCCTGAAGGAAGGAACAGGGGAGGGCAGCCTGTCTTCCTGAGGCTTGGGTGCCCTTTGGCACATGCTTAGTAATGCCTTTAGCTCAACTCTAAAGTTCTCGTTGAGCCAGCAGTAGATGAAGGGGTTGTAGCAAGTGCTGCTCATGGCAAACCAGTGGAAGGCAAAGTAGAGGGCATTGTTGGTGTGGATGGCCTTGCTGGACAGGAGGAGGACATAGCAGTTGAGGGGGAACCAGCAAAGGGCAAAGAGGACTACCACAAGCACCAGCATCTTCACAGTGGTCTTCTTCTTGCGGCGCAGGGCAAGGTACTGCTCCGTGGTCACATCGCCAATGGTGTTACACAGCCACAGCTTCTTGGCCACACGGGCATAGGCCACCGAGATAATAAAGAGTGGAAGGAGGTAGAGCAGAATGAAAGTAGCCAGGTCCAAGTACTTCCAGAAGAGGTCAGCTGGCTCTGGGAAGTCTGGCAGGCAGAGGGACCGTACAATGTCTTCACTGGACCAAGAGGGAGAGAAAAAGAAAGATGGAGACAGCAGACTATGAGTGGGGAAGTCAGAATTACCTCTTCCTGCTGAGGAATGCTGGCCTCCCTACCCCAGGCTTGGGCACATCTGTTACAGTCCTTTTGAAACTGTGGCCAAACTGTCTCAGCATGCTTCAGTCTCCCCACAAGGTAGAGCATTTTATAGAGGATAGGAAGACTCCAGACTCTGTGTTCCCTCAACTTGGCATCATCCCTTGCACACAGTGGACCCCAAGGATAGTAAATGAATGAATCAACAGATAATGAGTGAATGAATGAATGAACTAAGGAAGGAAGGAATGAAACAGCAGTGTAGCTGCTCAGGAAACCAGTACTTTCTTGAGGAAATCTTAGAGTTCCCTTTGTTCTCAGTTCTTAACCAAAGAGAAACCTATAAATCACTAAAAGATGGAAGGTTGGGAGAGTATATAGCAAAGTAAGCATGCCTCTAGCCATGTCTGTGGCTTACTAACTTTTTACACATTCTAGAAAGAAACAGAAGAAGGGAGGCAGCTGATTCCCAGGGAGTAGCTGAAACCACTCAAAGCCTCTCCTTTGCTTACCGTCTGTGCTTATGAACTGCAGGTTTGCGATGTGGAGGCAGTGAGTTAGGTGCTCAACTTAGACAGATCTCAAAAGTTCAACATTAGCTAGCCTCCTTGCATTCAGTCTGCGTGGGCTCAGGTTATAAAGAAGTAGATGGTAGTTTTTTTTAAATGAGTGTTTCAAAGAACCAGTTTCTCATTTGGGGAGAGCATATGCTAAGGACCAAACTGGGTACTGGAGGAGACACCTGTCTCAGAATCCTGCCTCAGAAGTATATACTCAGGCTTATTTTGTTTCTAAGTTCTGTGAGACTTGAAATCTTGCTCATTTAAAATAAGGCAGAGTGGAGACCCATGTGCTGTGTGAGCATATGCCTCCTGGTGGCCGAAGCTGGTAATAACTGCCTTATCCTTGCAAACAGCCTAAGGAAGAGCTAAAGTTGAGAACTGCCCAGGGAAAAATAATACAGACTAAGCATGGGCTGGGAGCTGGTAAAAACAATTCACTGAGGCAGGTACACCAAACAGTAAGAGTCATATCCAAGGGGCTCCAGTTGGGTTCCTATGATTGTGGTCCAGGTCCATTCTGGAGAAGGCCAGCATGGTGCAATCTTCCCTGAGCCCCCAGGCTGCTCCCACTAATATGTCTTACCTGTACTTGAAGGTAAACAGTTTCTGGCAGATAGCATGTGGCAGTGAGAAAAAGGTAGCCATGACCCAGATGACAGCAATATAGATGACGCCCTTGGTGATGGATATCCGAGGCTTCAAGGGATGCATGATGACCTAGAAAGCGAGTGAAGGGGGTCTCCACTGAATCTGGAAGTAGATAAGACTCCAGGCCACAAGACTCATGGGTTATGTAAGACAGGTCTTATTTATCAAAAGTTGAGCACCATTTACAATCTTTGGTGGCCCCTGAGCTGCACCAGGCAGCTGAGGCATTGAAGGGAGGTCACTCTGACCACAGCTCAACTCCAGGGATGGGAAGAGGGGGTCATGTAAACTCTGTGGCTCCTGGTAATTCCAGGGCCTCTTTCATGTGAGAAGAGCAGGGTAGGGGTGGGAGGAAGGAACAGAGCTTGTAGGAGGGGCCCCAGGCTCAGCCCCACCTCCTGGAGATCTGACCCACCATTCAATGGTTCCACACCCTGGGTGATATGAAGGACTTTGACCACAGGGAGCAATCTCTTGTTACTCACTGCAGAAAGCTGATTTGATGCCACCTATTAAGACCATTACTAAATCCATACACAGACTGGCTTCCATGCATTTCAAAGGAAGCCAGTATCACAGGTGTGGGGCCAAAATGCGTCTTGGAATTAATATTGTGTGCCAGCCAATCAACTCCTTTAAGAAGCTTAAACAAAAATGGAAGTTAAAAATGTTTCCATTTGTAAGATGGGGTCCTGTAGCAGAGGTACCCAGAGCTCTGACTGAATTGATGGGGGGGGGAGTAATAGCTGTGTGCACTTTTCTCAGCTGGTTTTGATGCACCTGAGCATGTGAAGACCTGACTCTAATATGATCATGGCATTTTGGAAATAGAGAGATCGAAAATATGAGCAGTCTGTTCCTTGTGCAAACCTCTTCAAAAACATCCTTATCAAGTTGTCACCCAGATGCACTTAGATGTGACTGGTGACATGAGACAGTGTGTCCTAGGCAGCTCTGTCCACTTGGACCACTTATTTCTACTAGAAAATCATTCCCCACACTGCATAATGCTTTTAGTGTGGGTCTTTGAAGCCATTTCTCTGTTGGCCTTTATGCTTCTTGGGTCATCTCAGAGCAAAGCTTGGTTCCCTTTGTCCTCAGGATACTTGCCTTGTGGGTCTGTTTAAATCATCACAGAGTCTAGTGGCCACAGCATGTCTTGGATCCAGACAGATGTTGGTCCTCATTTTAGCCTGGTCATGTGATTATAGAAAGCTATATGTGCATTTCTGAACCTGTTTCCTAATTTAACATGGTCTAACTCAGTGGTTCTCAACCTGTGGGTCATGACCATCAGAAACATATATTTCTGATGGCCTTAGGAACTGAGACACCACTCAGTAACAAAATTACAGTTAAGAAGTAGCAACTAGTGGGGCAGTTGTGTCACAGTTTAATTCCAGCACATGGGAGGCAGAAGCAGGCAGATCTCTGAGTTGAAGGCCAGCCTGATCTACAGAGTGAGTTCCAGGACAGCCAAAGCTACACAGAGAAACCCTGTTTCAGAAAAAAAGAAAGGAAGGAAGGAAGGAGGGGGAAGGAAGAAGGAGGAGGGGGGAGGAGGAGGAGAAGAAGGAGGAGGAGGAGGAGGAGGAGGAGGAGGAAGAGGAGCAGGAGGAGGAGAAGGAGAAGAAGAAGAAGAAGAAGAAGAAGAAGAAGATTTTATGGTTGGAGGTCACCACAACATGAGGAACTGTATTAAAGGGTCACAGCATTAGGAAATTTGAGAACCACTGAATAATCAGAAATTTGTGCTAATGGATCATGGAGTTAGTAGGTGCATTGTACCTGGCCCAGAGCTGGCCTCTTTCACAATGGCTGTCTTTGGGTCCTCTTTGAATGCCTACCTCCCACGGGCATCATCCTATATACTCACTCCTATGCTATCACACCTTCCTTGCTCTTGCTTTCAAGACACTTGTTGTGTTCCTCCTACACAGTCTGGTCAGAGACTCTCCATCTCCCAGTTGAAAGCCTTCTCTGACCTGCAGTTATTTGCTTCTTCCTTTTCATCTATAATTTTCTGGGTTTGATTTTCTACCACCAAAATAAATTCATTAAACTTAGAGATGGGAAATGCCATCAGTAAATCTTAACTTCAACAACAAAGTAGAAATAACCTTTTGTAACAATCAAAGGGTTCAATATCCCTCATGCCCTTGCCAAAATTGATCAACAAGGAGACAAGTGCACACACTGACAGCTGGGCTGAATGAGTCACTGTTGCGAGAGTGTTCCTTACAGACACTAGCAGACATAGCCAGATAGAGGAGGATGGTGGCAGGGGTAGGTACCCTCACCTGGTGACGGTCCACAGCAATGGCTGTCAGCGTCAGAGCTGAGACATGTAGAGAACAGTACTGGGCAAAGCGGCTGACATGGCACATTCCCTTCCCAAACACCCATGTGCTGTTCACAAAGCGAACCTGTTGGTAGAATACAGATGTCAGGCATGGAGAGCATGGACCTGTGAGTAGAATACAGATATCCATCAGGGGATGGACAGGATGGGTAGAATACAGACATCAGGGATGGACAGGATGGGTAGAATACTGGCATCAGGGAACAGACAGGATGGATAGAATACAGGCATCAGGGGACATGATTGGCCCTAAACCATCAAGTATCAGAAAAGCTTGGGGAAAATGTGGCCTCTGGGGGTTGGTCTCTCCACCACTATTTGTTGCTCTGCTAACCACAGTTTTCCCATTTGCAGAAAATGGTTTCAAAATCCGTACCTGAAAGGTTTATTATAAAATCTGTAAAGATGGGAGAAATTGCGCAGCAAATTGTTGGAAGGTGATTATTAGAAATTGGAAGCTGGCATTTTTAAGTGTAATAAAATTCTTGGCTGAATGGAACCCAGCCTAATGGGGAAACATCTTCAAAAAGTCACAATGCAGCATGTTGATTGTGCTTAGAAGGTGTGTGTGTGTGTGTGTGTGTGTGTGTGTGTGTGTGTGTGTGTGTGTGTGTGTATGTGTGTTCCAACTCAGAGCCACACACAGTATGGGAGCGATCCACCACTGAGCTACACCCCAGCCCATGTCTATACCAATCTTGCAGCTGACCCGCCTGGGATGGAGATTCCAGGAAAGGTGAAGGTTAGGATGGGGAGAAATGCGGCCCCGAGGGGGGACAAGGTTCTCCTTCAGCAGCATGCAGGGCAGTGTACTCACTCAGGCCTGGACAGCTCCTGTGAGGAATGTGTCCAGGAGAGATGGAGCATCAATTCTGACCAAGGCACGTCTGATCTGAGAGGGGACTGAGTGTAGAGAGTGCCCAACAGAAGATCAGACACAGGGCAAATGTGTCTCTAGGTGGGGGTAGAGCCATCAAAGGAAGAGATTGAAATCAGGGACAGTTCTCTCTTGACTTGTATTTACAGTGGAGAGTTTGCCACTTCCTGCTGTCACCTTAGTGGACAGGTAGGTGACAGTCAGATAAGACTGACCAGCCTTGACTGATACACAGTTATGCCTCTATGTCCTCCCAGCCAAGAAATATTGCAGGTGCTAAAATATGGACCACCGGGCTTCCCCCAGCATAGCTTATGCATTCCCACTGTAGAGTCTCTGAGTCTTCATGCCCTGCATCCATGAAGCAGGCTCACACAGTCACATGTGGTTATGAAACCCATACCTGATAGAAAACAGGTGTAGAATGTGTACAACATTCCTTAGCCATCAGGGAAATGCAAATCAAAACAACTCTGAGATACCGTCTTACTCCTGTCAGAATGGCTAAAATAAAAAATACCAATGACAGTTTATGTTGGAGAGGATGCAGAGAAAGAGGAACACTCCTCCACTGCTGGTGAGAGTGCCAACTTGTACAGCCACTTTGGAAATCAGTATGGCGACTTCTCAAGAAAATGGGAATGAGTCTACCACAAGATCCAGCAATTCCACTCTTAGGCATATACCCAAAAGAAGCACATTCATACAACAAGGACATCTGTTCAACGATGTTCATAGCAGCACTATTTGTAATAGTCAGAAACTGGAAGCAGCCTAGATGCCCCTCAACTGAAGAAGGGATAGAAAAAAATGTGGTACATTTACACAATGGAGTACTATTCAGCAGGAAAAAAAAAACAAAACAAAACAATGGAATCATGAAATTTGCAGGCAAATGGATGAAACTAGAAGAAACCATTCTGAACCAGGTAACCCAATCACAAAAAGACAAACATGGTATGTACTCACTCATATGTGGATTTTAGATATAAAGGATTACCAGCCTACAATCCACACTGCCAGAGAAGCTAGTAAACAAGGAG